AAAAACTACTTCACCAGCTGGCATTTCCCTTTCTAAAGTCCTTACTAAAACTGCTGCTTCTGTGCTGCCAAGCTAGCTCCAGGCAGGTTCTCCCTAATAGTAAGCACCAGACCTTAATACTAAAAACTACTTCACCAGCTGGCATTTCCCTTTCTAAAGTCCTTACTAAAACTGCTGCTTCTGTGCTGCCAAGCTAGCTCCAGGCAGGTTCTCCCTAATAGTAAGCACCAGACCTTAATACTAAAAACTACTTCACCAGCTGGCATTTCCCTTTCTAAAGTCCTTACTAAAACTGCTGCTTCTGTGCTGCCAAGCTAGCTCCAGGCAGGTTCTCCCTAATAGTAAGCACCAGACCTTAATACTAAAAACTACTTCACCAGCTGGCATTTCCCTTTCTAAAGTCCTTACTAAAACTGCTGCTTCTGTGCTGCCAAGCTAGCTCCAGGCAGGTTCTCCCTAATAGTAAGCACCAGACCTTAATACTAAAAACTACTTCACCAGCTGGCATTTCCCTTTCTAAAGTCCTTACTAAAACTGCTGCTTCTGTGCTGCCAAGCTAGCTCCAGGCAGGTTCTCCCTAATAGTAAGCACCAGACCTTAATACTAAAAACTACTTCACCAGCTGGCATTTCCCTTTCTAAAGTCCTTACTAAAACTGCTGCTTCTGTGCTGCCAAGCTAGCTCCAGGCAGGTTCTCCCTAATAGTAAGCACCAGACCTTAATACTAAAAACTACTTCACCAGCTGGCATTTCCCTTTCTAAAGTCTTACTAAAACTGCTGCTTCTGTGCTGCCAAGCTAGCTCCAGGCAGGTTCTCCCTAATACTAAGCACCAGACCTTAATATTAAAAACTACTTCACCTCCTTCCATTTCCCTTTCTAAAGTCCTTACTAAAACTGCTGCTTCTGTGCTGCCAAGCTAGCTCCAGGCAGGTTCTCCCTAATAGTAAGCACCAGACCTTAATACTAAAAACTACTTCACCTCCTTCCATTTCCCTTTCTAAAGTCTTTACTAAAACTGCTGCTTCTGTGCTGCCAAGCTAGCTCCAGGCAGGTTCTCCCTAATAGTAAGCACCAGACCTTAATACTAAAAACTACTTCACCAGCTGGCATTTCCCTTTCTAAAGTCCTTACTAAAACTGCTGCTTCTGTGCTGCCAAGCTAGCTCCAGGCAGGTTCTCCCTAATAGTAAGCACCAGACCTTAATACTAAAAACTACTTCACCTCCTGGCATTTCCCTTTCTAAAGTTCTTACTAAAACTGCTGCTTCTGTGCTGCCAAGCTAGCTCCAGGCAGGTTCTCCCTAATAGTAAGCACCAGACCTTAATACTAAAAACTACTTCACCAGCTGGCATTTCCCTTTCTAAAGTCCTTACTAAAACTGCTGCTTCTGTGCTGCCAAGCTAGCTCCAGGCAGGTTCTCCCTAATAGTAAGCACCAGACCTTAATACTAAAAACTACTTCACCTCCTGGCATTTCCCTTTCTAAAGTCCTTACTAAAACTGCTGCTTCTGTGCTGCCAAGCTAGCTCCAGGCAGGTTCTCCCTAATAGTAAGCACCAGACCTTAATACTAAAAACTACTTCACCAGCTGGCATTTCCCTTTCTAAAGTCCTTACTAAAACTGCTGCTTCTGTGCTGCCAAGCTAGCTCCAGGCAGGTTCTCCCTAATAGTAAGCACCAGACCTTAATACTAAAAACTACTTCACCAGCTGGCATTTCCCTTTCTAAAGTCCTTACTAAAACTGCTGCTTCTGTGCTGCCAAGCTAGCTCCAGGCAGGTTCTCCCTAATAGTAAGCACCAGACCTTAATACTAAAAACTACTTCACCTCCTTCCATTTCCCTTTCTAAAGTCTTACTAAAACTGCTGCTTCTGTGCTGCCAAGCTAGCTCCAGGCAGGTTCTCCCTAATAGTAAGCACCAGACCTTAATACTAAAAACTACTTCACCAGCTGGCATTTCCCTTTCTAAAGTCCTTACTAAAACTGCTGCTTCTGTGCTGCCAAGCTAGCTCCAGGCAGGTTCTCCCTAATAGTAAGCACCAGACCTTAATACTAAAAACTACTTCACCAGCTGGCATTTCCCTTTCTAAAGTCTTTACTAAAACTGCTGCTTCTGTGCTGCCAAGCTAGCTCCAGGCAGGTTCTCCCTAATACTAAGCACCAGACCTTAATACTAAAAACTACTTCACCTCCTTCCATTTCCCTTTCTAAAGTCCTTACTAAAACTGCTGCTTCTGTGCTGCCAAGCTAGCTCCAGGCAGGTTCTCCCTAATACTAAGCACCAGACCTTAATACTAAAAACTACTTCACCAGCTGGCATTTCCCTTTCTAAAGTCCTTACTAAAACTGCTGCTTCTGTGCTGCCAAGCTAGCTCCAGGCAGGTTCTCCCTAATACTAAGCACCAGACCTTAATACTAAAAACTACTTCACCTCCTTCCATTTCCCTTTCTAAAGTCCTTACTAAAACTGCTGCTTCTGTGCTGCCAGGCTAGCTCCAGGCAGGTTCTCCCTAATACTAAGCACCAGACCTTAATACTAAAAACTACTTCACCTCCTTCCATTTCCCTTTCTAAAGTCCTTACTAAAACTGCTGCTTCTGTGCTGCCAAGCTAGCTCCAGGCAGGTTCTCCCTAATAGTAAGCACCAGACCTTAATACTAAAAACTACTTCACCAGCTGGCATTTCCCTTTCTAAAGTCCTTACTAAAACTGCTGCTTCTGTGCTGCCAAGCTAGCTCCAGGCAGGTTCTCCCTAATAGTAAGCACCAGACCTTAATACTAAAAACTACTTCACCAGCTGGCATTTCCCTTTCTAAAGTCCTTACTAAAACTGCTGCTTCTGTGCTGCCAAGCTAGCTCCAGGCAGGTTCTCCCTAATAGTAAGCACCAGACCTTATTACTAAAAGCTAGTTCAGCTCCAAAATCCAAAATAGGGCCCTGGCCAGCCTAGGAAAGAACGAATGCGCTGCTCGAGCAGCTGGTGGCAATCCAGCAGGAGGCGCTGACAGAACAGCACTCTATGGCTAAGAAGATGCATTGCCTCGAAGGACGCATGGTGCCTGGGTTGCCATCAGCTCAGCTGCACTAATTAGATCAGAAGTAAATATTGATCAATTAGATTCCCATTGGAGCACTATAAGATTCCCAATATATTCCCAATTCCCATTGATAAGAATCCCATTGGATCCCATTGATTAATGCTGATTAGTTTCTCTAAGGATTCATTACCCTTGTCTTCCAACTCATTAGTTCCTCATTACTAATAACCTTAATAAATAACCTCATTCATCCCTACTACCTATACCTAATCCCTCATAAAGTCACAAGCAAAATAATCAAGCACTATGATTGCCACTAAGGACGAATACTGCGGTCTACAGGCAGACAGAGAGAGGCACATCACCCAGTGTACCACGTGCGGGGAGTACGTCAAGGAGAAGGCGAAGCAGATGATGGTGAAATTCCGCCAGGCAGGAGTGCCGTTCTCATGGTTGGCGATCTGCAGCTGAACAGCCAGCAGCGGAGCTAGGCCAGGCTGACAGCCAGCTTCTACAGAAAGCTGGCAAGCACATAGAGGCTGGCTAGCAGCCAGGCAGCGTACAGGCAGAGACTCTCTGCGACAGAGGGGTGCAGCAAAAGGCGGTAGAGCGGTGAGGGATTGGGACTAGGCCCCCTTAATACTAAACACCCCGGGGTGAACTAGTTTTTAGTATTAGGGGGGAGAACCCACAAATAGTAGGTTGATTTTTAAATTGTTTTTTAAAGGGGATCAATTAAAAGTCAAATTGGCCAAACTGAAATTTTCGGAAATTGGAGATGGATGCCTGTTTTTAGTATTAGGGGGACGTTTAGTATTAGGAGGAAGGGATTATTCCTCCTCGACCGGCCGTGCAGGGGCGGGCTCTGTCCTTTCCAGCCTTTGCCCAGCCTTCCTCACTGCCCTGTTCATGAAGAAGCCAGGAAGGAACCTTTGAATGAGAGCTTGGAGAACCAGCACTACGACGCTCCCTGTGCTCAACAAAGTCCAACCAGTTTTAACGGTCTGCGCCGGAAAAGCCCTTGCGGGCTGTGTTCGTGCATGACCGCTTGGAAGGACGAACCGGCCTGGCGCAAGCTCAACCTGCCTCACAAAGATGCATCTGCGGAATGTCGAAGAAAAGGGACAATACATCGGTTCAGTCAATTTGTGCCAAACTGGCTTTGGTATTGAAGGATGCTTGATATGCAAAACCAAACAGGAACCACAGCGCCTAACCTCAATCAATACATGAATTTGAAGCAAATAATTCGACATCTTTGAACAACAGCTTGGTAGAATTTGAACCTGAACCTACACATAGAAACTCTGACCACCTCAACAATTATCCCCTTCATTCAATCCAAACATTATCACAACAACCTCAACAACACATTTAGCAAGATAATCAAAAAGAAGCAGTCAAACATTTAGATTTACAACATTGAACAAAAACATAACAGCCTCCCACCTGACCTCCAACCTGTCTTGTCCTAGCATCCCTGTTTTACCATTTTTTTTAATGGGGAAAAGGATGGATAAACATGGATAAACCGTGGGATCCTTGGGGGTTCTCTGAGAATTGGGAGGATTCGATTTTTTTCCCCTACTAAACAACACAACAAAAACTTTCATCCCACTCAGAATGGGTGACTCTGTTGTAGAGGGATTGGATCGGCAATCCATTTCTTTGTGGTATAGTCTCATCCCAGTCTGAAAATCGTGCACCCCAATCCATCCACTGGATGACCATCATGTCCGTGAAAATTTTCCCTATTAAAATAACCATAAGTGGGGATCTATCTCATTTCCAGACACACCCAATTATATATCAATTATCATCATTAGAATCATTATCCCTTGATCAAATCCCCATTGTTTATGGTTACAGTAAATGATGTTGAATCCCTATGCTGGTTGACGGTGAAAACCCCTATTTCTGATGGTGACACATCTTATCACATCGCTCCCCAAAAATCCGACCTCATCAGCTCGTTGCTTGGCGGCATCGATGAGCTCCAAGTGACCCTCGTGGAGGTTTCCCATGGTGGGAACAAACCTGCTGCTGATCTGGGTGAAATCGTGAAACCAAGCCACCGATGCCACCTATGGCCACAGGAATGGAGAAAAACATAGAACAACCACCGAAGTAATGATTACTTGAGTGGCAGTAGTGTCACAAGTGTGCCCTCTTTTGGGGAATGTTTGAAGCTGCCATTTGTTTTGAGGTACTTCAGTAGGAGGAAAAATTGCAGGTTGAGTCCACCAATAGAGGCTGGTCACATGATGTAATTTGAGTTGAAAATTAAATCCATGCCCAAAAAAATATCACAATGGCATGTGGACACATTCCATGCGTTTAATGAGACAAACTAGCTCCAGAGGTTTTCATATGCTAAGTGGACCCCCTTTTGCCAACCGAAAATACGGTATAGAAAAACAATATTTGCAAAAATTACTAACATGATTCAAGACAATGTCAACCAATGGGGCCACAGCATCGCCACATCCAAACTCCACCGCAGTAAGGCTCCCTGCGCAACCCGACGCCCTTGCTCGGCAACTTTGCGCCTCCATGCCTCAAATCACTAGATATACAAAATAAATATAAATATAAATATAGATAAATAAATTTGTATATATATATACATTATATTATGTACATATATATAAATATATGTGTGTCCCATGTATATATATGTATATATATATATATGTTAGGCCGTCGCTTTGGAACGCGACGAAACACATCGCTTCGGAACGCGGTCAAACGCGTCGCTTTGGAAAATGGCTGTGTTCCAAAGTGATGCTTCAGACTGTGTTCCAAAGTGATCCGCCTGTTACCGTATATATATATATTATGTATAGTTGGACCACGGCCTTTAGACGATCGTGGTGTTTTGTTGGGGTGGGGTGGGGTGGGGCGGGGCATGTATTAACGTTCATGTGAACTTGCACATGAAGTAGATGCTACGCTGTGGCTGTCGGTTGGGGCGTGTATTCATGGGTGGGGGGTGGGGTGGGGTGGGGTTTATAACGCCACTAGCTCTCTCACACATACATCATGCTACGCTATTACGTTCCCTTGGACTTCCACGTAGACGTCATGCTACGCTAGTGTCCGTTCTCTTGGGCTTCCACGCATACGTCATGCTACGCTACTGTACGTTCTCTTGGACTTCCACACATATGTCATGCTACGCTACTGTACGTTCTCTTCGGCTTCCACGCGTACGTCATGCTACGCTATGTTCTCTTGGACTCCCACGCATGCATTAGCTCAGATTCTTAATGAAGTGGGCGTTGCGTTCATACCTCCATGATGATCAAGAAGATGAAATAAATTGTGATGATGATGATGATGATGTTGATGATGAAGATGAAGTAGATGCTACGCTGTGGCTGTCGGCTGGGGCATACACTCACGTTCATGTGAACTTGCACGTCAGAAGGTCCCAAGTTGTTTCCAGGCATTTCCAACATTGCCGGTATCCAAACGTTGGACCGGTCCTGGAAGTCTTTGAAAGATTTCTTGCCAGCTCACATGGTTTTGAAATGCAAAGAGCGTAAACATTCTACTTTGCACCCCTCCGCTACACAATATGTGTTCATGTGGTGCTGGCGATCAAGCTTGCAGAATCCAGATCTTAAAAGGTTTTTGGAAGAACTTCCAGCGCTGCTGTAAACAAAGAACGGCTGAACAATTGTGAAGACGGCTTCGAAAAAAAATATGGAGGTTTCGTGTAGGCGAAATAACTGTTTTCATTCTTCTGCTTGGAACTAAGGCGTTGATGGCCTTTACACTAAAATCACACGAATTCCTATTGGCACGAGCGCATCCAACATGGTCAACAACATCCCATCACTCAGAAAAACACACGGCCATCTAGAGGCCGTGCTCCTAGTTATATAATGTTATTCATCATATTCAGTCAAATTCAGTTAAAACGTGGGGAGCTTTCAGCTGAAAGGCTTCCGATCATTCGTCACTGTGAATCATGTAAAGCTAGTGGATCCTGGTATGTGTATGTGTAAGTATAGGATATGATGTACGAATTAAACATGCACCGTTCTATAAAGAACCAAAACAAAAACAATGAAAATAAATTGCAAATCATCGAACTATCATAGCACCCATTCGCTGAAATTCTGGCATTGCAAAATTCGCGATGTCAGAGAAGTCAGCTATGAATCGGTCTGTAGCTTTTACATCCTCATACCCTCTCAAAACGCTTGACTAGTGTTAGTGAGGCTATAGCACCTAAAGCTGCCTCTGTCTAGTTAAAGCAAATGAAAGAGTTGGATTTGAATCTAAGAGAGGGACGATCAGTTCAGCATTGGAACACAATCGCTGAGGCCTCAATGGTCAGTTCGCCTCCAAACGCTCAGTGGTGAATATCTATATAGTTTTATATACTGGATGGGTCATGGTTTCAAGATGTTTCAAGTTTCACGCCAAAGACAAGGAACTGTTATTGTCAATGTCAATTATATAGGATCATCCGGTAGGTCGGCAAATTTTGACATTCAATGTTCAACAAGCCACAACCAAATATCATACCATGAACACAAGAACTCACTTCGTCTGAGAAGGGGACTCTGTCCTTGTGCCTGTGCTGGTGCCAGCTGCCTGACATCTGAAACATGGGAACAGCTTGGTCCATCCCCACATTTGTTGTGTTCATTCCTGCTATGATATAATTGCACATAATTGCTGGGCTTATGTCCCCAATATCCCATCTTTTGAAAGCATAAAAATTACCCAGTATCAAGGGCTGGTCACGCAACTATTTTCAACCTTAAAATCCCGACATACCGTACCCCTATCTCTTTCTATACTTAATTCAGTCTGTATATAATGAACAAATTACAAATAATCTTTTACAAAACATGTATTATATACATCCATATGAATATGTGTCTTGAAATATAAATCTTAAATTTCTACATAGTTAACTAAGTTAACTGTATTTAGATTCGTAATATCATATCAATTCATATCATATCTATGATATCTATGTATATCATCTCTATATCTAACTATGAATCTCACCATTTTGACCGACCCATGACCTGTGAGATGCCACGGGCGCCGGCGAGACCGGCGAGGCGAACCCCAGCGCTGTGACGTTGCCTGGCGCGAACCGAAGCACTGTGATGTTCAGGGTCTATATGAATTTACCATGATTTTACCAGGGGGTATTATATAATAAAGGATAGGCAATGATGATGATAAGATTTTTAAAATTATATATATATAAATATGTATATCATGGGTGACAATCATTGTCTGAATTATAAATATCATTCTAAAATGGCGAGGTGATCATTACAGTAAGAATTACCAGAAACTATCATGGTTCTAGCCATCAATAGCTAAGGATTGATGATCGTCACCATTTTGATCACCTCCAGCAATATTTTATACTGTAATAGTTTATAGCTGATCATTCAATATGAAGGGTGTCATAGCCGCACTTTTTCGTATATTATCAATCAAGAATCGGAGTACTGACTACAATGCGGAATATGCTGAAATATCCCTGGATTGACTCCAGGGACAATTTACATGAAACCAATACTTTTTTCCCCACCCCACCACACACACACAAAAATATGGTGTTCCTCTAAACTTTCCACTAAAAAATATCCATGAGCCAACGAAGTTGGCTACAAGAGAAACGTCTGGAAGTGCACCTGCTAGAAAGAAATGTTCCTGCTAGTTTGTTCTAGAACTCCTATTGCTTCAATGAAGTGAACATCCCCTCCAAACAACCGGTCCCTGTCAGTGACTGAGTCAACCTATAAACTATAAATCATCAATGAACCAAAGGCTGCTTGGAGCGGGAAGAACCTGGTTGCTTTCAGACTTTGTGCAAGGCACTTTCAAGAAATGTTTCAGTGTTAAAGTTGCAGAAAGTCCATTTGAAAACAATGTCAATTTTCCAACAGGGCGAGCTGAGGAGTCACTGAGTTTGACACACAGGCAGCAAACGCCCTTGCAAAAGCTCAAAGCCGAAGCTTCCTGCCAGTGGAGTCATGGCCAAAAACCTGATGGAAATCCATCATGTGTTTTTCTTTCCCTTATGTGACTTGTTTGTATGCTCAAATCAGCGATTTTTCCTTCATTATCATCATTGGCATTCGGAGGTTTTGGCCACTCCCCAATTTCCAACTTCATTTCAACAAGGGCCCGTGCTAACAAACAGCCAATTTTCCATCTGTGATCCCAATGATGGCTTGACTGCCTCCAAGCAACTCACTAGCTCAACTGCTACCACGATGCGTAAACGTTCTTCACACCAAGAAGGATTTTCTTGGTATCTTGTGGTATCTTGTGGTATCTTGTGGTATCTCTACAATTCTCTACATATCTCTGCTATCCTTTCCTGAAGTGCCCGTGGTTGAATTGTTGCCGATCTCTCAACTTCCAGATTTCAGGTCACACGTTTGGGGGTCCTGAGGTGCTCTGCGAACGAGAGGAGGAGGCCTAGGATCTGGCAAATGCTTGTAGCATCCTCAACTCTTTGTAAGACGGCGACCCAAAACAAACCCATTATGTATTATGTACAATTTGTTGAGCATATACCACATATAACATAATATGTATATAGACATGGCTGGATAAGATGCTGAGGATACCTCATCAGGGCCTGTATTAGCCTGTATGTCTGTAAATGTGTACATATGAGTATATATATATATTATTATATACGTATATATATATAATTATATATATACACGTATATGTACACGTACATAAGTCGCACTATGAACTGAGTGATCCACGATCGGTGAAATTAAGACTGAGCACCGTGCAGTATGGCCATTAACAACAGGTGAATCTGCCGACTCCTGGATGATTTGACTTCTCAATATCATGGAATATCCACCAGTGCCCCGCCGAAAATTGTCCATCAAATACTACAGATTGCAGGAGCTACATTGTCTACATTGTCTACATGAAGCACCACTCAGGAGCTCTAGCAGCTCTAGCGGTTCATCCAAGCAGAAATCCAACCGCAAAACCCAACAGGACCAGCGCTCCTGCACAGTGTCTTGCAACTGCACCTGGCTTCAAGCCATCCCAAAACACGTAAAGATCCGGGCGAGGGGTCGGGTCATCTTATATTAAAGAAAACCCAATATCCATATGGATATATACATCATATGCGGGTTTGTCTGAACATTTAGCGAAAAATTCCAGATAACCCATGGATTCTCATGGGATTTCCCATGTGTTGTGTTCCCTCAGCCGCACCTGTGGCAACAGCTGTTGCAGCTTTTGGAGCTCCTGACCCAAATCATCCAACATGGAAGCATTTTAGAAACAGGTGCTGACTTGGGGAACCACCATTAAAATCATTAAACACAAAATATTATAGACTCTGGATATATCATGATATCATATGATATCTGGATATCACTCATATTCGATATGTATCATGATGATTCAGTATGAATTAACAACTTGAATCATACGGTATTGTTTTTGATGTGTCAATGCATCCAGTCTCCTAGTTACTAGTTCAAAGATTTCCTGGAACGAGCCAGAAACGCATAGCTTCTTTTGGTCACCCGAGTCACTTTGCCAAATGGATCCTATTGTTTCTTAAATGAGGGGATACCGGGATACCCTTTCCCCAGTAAGCATGATCAATCACACCAGTGAGAGCAGGACATGCGGTTTGTTTTTTGATTATTCAATGTGCACCTCCACTTGTTGATGATGAACTTCCATGATTCCCATGACACTGAAGCAAATCATCTTTGGACAGTGACAGCCCTTGGAAATCCTTGGAATTCTGCAAGTCCGGACAAGTCCTCTGCTGGCATGTGTCGGGAATACTTGTCTCCAGGAAACTGTCCTGAGCCAAAAAAAGCCACGACTGCGACCCAGGAAACCTGCAGAATCCTGGTTGCGCCGAGGCGCATCTCACAATCGCTTTATTTGAAGATCATATCAATCAGAACATAGACTCATCTGACCAGTCCTTACAAGTTTTCTTTTCACCTGGAAACAAAATGATGGGACGGAACACAATTTAAGAAATAAATCGTTGCTTTCCTGATGTCTACATATGTTTACCCTGTTATTGTCAATCACTTCACTCAACCCATGGGCATCCGAACCACTCCGGACCTCTTTCACGTAGTTCTCATAGGCCTGGCAGGGAAAACTCGAAATCGAGATCCATGATGATCCATGATGATCCAACACCACAGCGCCTCCGTGGAAGCTCGGCCCACGTCAACAAACATCTTGGCAAAGGAGGGTGGTCCTCAGGATCTACTGTGCGGTGGATGTGCACCACGAAAACATATCTGGGCCCCGTCAAGTCGCCTAGTGAACATGGCAGGAATGAGAAGAAACCACTGACCTTGGTACTACTTCATAACACTTCATACCCATCTGGACCCTCTGCTCAAACCACCGCAGCTTGAATAAGTGAAAATCAATGTGGTCTTTGGTGCACAAACGCAACGCCGGATGAACGCCTCAGGATGAACATCTATCAATCATCTAAACCGAACAACATATTCACACATGTGCTCTTGACAATATGAATGTTGGATCAGTTGGATCCTAATATAAACACACATCTACTTTCCGGGAATTTGCTGGTGTACGTACGTGTGCACGTTTATTTGTGGCACGAAAAATCAGATGGCCAGGTGAACCAAGTTGCCAAGACACACATGGGATTGTTTGGAGCGCCCAAAAAAACTTGGAATGCTGATCATTTTACAGTATATAATATTAATTAATATTATATAATCCAAAACAAGACTCAAAAAATCCAGACCCCCCCAAGGTGCAAGGCGAGCAATTGGGATAGCTGAGGGCGCTGGCGACCATGCATGCCAAGCATATCATCGCACACTAAGACCTGGCAGATTTTCCCACTCTCGAGGAACAAAAATATTATATTAATATATATATATATATATATATTAATCTATATTATATCTATATTATATCTATATTATATCTACATTATAGAGACATGAGAATCTTTCTGGCTCCGAAGCTTCTGACTTTTCCGCATGGGTCTGTTATGTCTGTTACATGACCTGCACCGAGCTGGATCAGGCCCAGGCACCGCCGCGCCTGGCCAGCGACTTTGCCGCCAGCACCAATTCCAATCACCGGACAGGAGACGGAAGCCTGTACCTCGCAGCAGGTGACCTCTCTTTTCGAAGACAAAATGTCTTCGCTGGTGAAAGTTTCCAATCATGGAAAATCATGGGCATATATTGCAAGATTGAAAAGGACAACAGTTGCAGCTTGATGAAGCGGTTCCAAAAGGAACCACCTTGTTTTTCTAAGGTGTCGAGAAATCCCATGGGTGGAGATCCTTGCGCAAATCATTTTGGGAGAATGTGCGATGGTCAAAAAACAATGGAAAAAAAACATGTTGATACAAGCCACCTTCAGTCAATTTCTGGTGGAATCGGGTGGGTGTGTTTGAAAATAGGGTACCTCCAATTCCACTGGATCACAGTCATTATACCCTTAATTTGAAGGGCATAGCCCATTTTCAGACAAACCTATATATATATATATCATATACATATATATATGTATATATATAATCTATATCTCTATATATATATATATATATCAAATGTGTGTATGTGTATATATATATATATTATTTATTAAAAAAATATTGCATTACACTATATCGTATTGTACTAAATTATATTACATTATGTTATACTATTAACTTTCGAAACAATATATTACATAACCTATAAATTATAAAATCCAATAATTTATTATATTATATATCATGTAATTTTAATGAATGTATAATATATATATGTATATGTATATATATATATACATATATGTATATATACTATATTATTGTATTTATATAATAAATGTAATACATATATATATATATAATATAATATATATATATATAATATATTTATAATAGTAACTTTACATTTGTTTTAATCATTGTGCGGTAATACCGCTATAATCCACAAACTATGATTGGTATTGTATATATAACATTCTATATAATGTAGGTAAAACAATATTAAACCATCCCCAGTCATCGCCATACATAGGTGGAATTGTTTCCCAAATGGGTGGCTTATGCCATTGTTTTACCCACATTAATCTGTAAAATGCTTATCTATTCCCACATTTATACCATTGATTTTATCTATTTGTTTTAGCAGCAGTTGGCAAATGCACCATGGCATGGTCGTCGCTGAGGACCTGACAGCTGTTCCCACCTAGCGCCAAGCGCTCACGCGGAAAGAACGAGGACGAGTTCTACCAGAAAGATAATGGGAATATATGGGATATAACAGTGTGATAATACGGGATTAGTAGGGATATAATATGATTCGTGGGGAATCATCTGGGAATATATGGGCATATGAACATCAATATGTTATTTTTTGTGATATAACATGACATAAATGTTGGTTTATGATACCTAGTGTTCATGGGCTAAATTAAACCAACAGACACGGTGGGCCCCACCTTGCAACTAAGATTCGTCACTGTGCTTTTTAAAAACAACGAGATAGCAACACTCTGCGTAGGACCGTAGGAAGAAACACACATCAATATCATATATATATATATATCATAAATAAATATTGCGTATGTATATATATATATATATCATATATATATCATATATATGAATCAACAATCAACACGTGTCACCTCAGAAACAATGAAAACATATGAAACAACAGAATAGTTGCCTTCTCAATAAAACAACTTTTGGTTGGTACGCAGCATCTCACAGCACCTAATCAATCCATGTCAATTCGGGGTAGATGGGATGCATTTTTCAATCTAGCGAGGTTTGCAGCAAAATTGACACATGATGCTATATATATATTATTATATATAATCGTAATTTGTTCAACAACATGTGCCATGATTTTTCCCTTTTATCTTTCCTGAACATCTCCTTAAACAAACACAAGAAAAAAAACAAGCGAGTTGTTGGGCGATCACCTCCTCTGGTACCATCTCGACCACCAGCAGCACCGCTCCGGCGCCGTTTAACTCCTGCTGACAAATCTCAAAGAACCATGAGCATGAACATCACACCCAGTGTCGGCCAAGCAGTATGTATATGTCTACCATGTTTTAATGAATAAACATATTATGTATATATATATATATATCATTATACGTAACTATTGTGGAGATCACATCCTGGAGAAGCAGTTTCGTATGGTATTTTTACTATGTTTTTTATGCTTATGAACATAGATACGCGGGGGCGGTAATGCAATCTGGCACCTTTATTTTATATATATATAGGAAAGGTTGTTGTTATCTCAAAATTAACAAGGTTTGAATAAACAAACTATGATCAATTCATATCGATTCATACTAAACATCTACATGTGCTCCATGGACAAGTTTTGGGCACAGGTCCTTTGCATCTGCGATAATGTCCATTGCACTCGCGGCCGAAGTGCCTGTAGCTGGACTTCTCCCCATGTTGGTTTATATGATTATACAGTTGTCATTTATCATTGTATTTGTATATATAGTTGTATATTGTTGGTTGATATTGGTTGTACAAAAAAAATAACTAGTTGTATATATAGTTGTAAATTAAATGTAACAATCATGGTCTATGCAAGTTCCCGGAAGAAAGTCGTCAATTCCCAATTGCCGGCGGGCTTATAAGCTCAGTTCCATCCCGTAAAACAACTAAAAATTGGAATAGGGCATCCTGGTATCCAAACACCAGACAACACATAACAAATGTTCGGGAAAACAATGTGTCTTGCTGATGCCCCAAGCATTCTACTAGTTGAATCCAGAGTTGCTGGTTCTCTCTGCGAGGACGCCAGAAATGAAACTTCAGTTCTCAACGAGCCTTGCAAGCGAAAACCTCCTTGAAGTAAGGCCTGCAAATCAGGATTCACATGGGACATGTTTGTCTGAAAATATGGTAAACCATGGTAAACCCCACAGATGGCCATTTGAATAGGTATAATGACAATGATGTTTGATCAATGAAATTTATGGTGCAATCTTCACACAAACCCATGTTGCTCATGTTTGTCCATGATGTGACACGTCCTATCCCCGTTGCAGCCCAAACACACAGAGTCGATATCTCAATGAAGCTGGGGCCCTGACCCGTTGGGGCTCAAGCCCAATGTGGCTCATGACAGCAATCCCCGCCTGTTTGCTTTGAAAAGTGGGGACTTGCTGGGACAATTTGAGCTGAATAATATATATATATTATATGTATATATACCTCATTCTATGCCTCATTTCAATGACGAAATTATTTTCTGGACAAAATCCATATACGTCCTACAAACAGAAACAAAGTAAAACAAACATATTTTGGATGTGTCATGATGCGTCCTTGTTTTGCGCAGTATCATGAGTTTAAGGCCCCTATTCCCAGCGCAGTATTCAAGGTCCCAGCATTGGTCAGCGCTTTTACAACCGGCGCGAGGTGGCCTTAAGAAACGGGTTCTGCCAGGAAGTTGGGCAGTGGCCTGAACACTTGTGAAAAAAACAACATTTAGGCTGTTTTATGGACATGATTACTACCTACTTAACCATTGTCTGATCATGAATCAAGGTCATCATCGTTGTCACCATTACAACCATCGCCATCAGCATGACCATTACTGTTGCTTTTCCCGTCACCATCACCATCACCATCACCATCACCGTCATCATCACCATCATCATCATCATGATCATCATCATCATGATGATCATCATCATCATCATCCTCATCCTCATCATCATCCTCATCCTCATCCTCCTCCTCCTCATCATCATCATTATCATCACCCTCATCATCATCATCATCAACATCATCATCAGCATCATCATCAGCATCATCATCATCATCATCCTCATCCTCATCATCATCCTCATCATCCTCCTCCTCCGCCTCCTCCTCCTCATCATCATCATCATCCTCACCCTCATCATCATCATCATCGTCATCCTCATCATCAGCATCATCATCACCATCATCATCATTATCATCATCATCATCCTCATCACCATCCTCATCATCATCCCCATCATCAATCCTCATTATCATCCACATCATTATCCTCATCGTCATCATCCTCACCGTCACCGTCCTCCCCGTCGTCGTCGCCGTCGTGGTGCCATAAGCATCATCATCATCATCATCATCATCATCCTCATCCTCACCATCACCATCACCATCACCATCACCATCATCATCATCATAGTCATAGTCATAGTCATCGTCATCATCATCATCATCATCATCCTCACCGTCCTCGTCCTCATCATCATCCTCACCGTCGTCGTCCTCCTCCTCCTCCTCATCATCATCATCATCCTCATCATCATCAACATCAGCGTCATCCTTATCATCGTCGTCATCATCATCATCATCACCATCACCATCACCATCACCGTCGTCGTCCTCATCATCATCCTCATCCTCATCATCATCCTCATCATCATCCTCATCATCCTCATCCTCATCATCATCCTCATCATCATCCCCATCATCAATCCTCATTATCATCCACATCATCATCCTCATCGTCATCATCCTCACCGTCACCGTCCTCCCCGTCGTCGTCGCCGTCGTGGTCATCATCACCATCATCATCATCATGATCAGAATCAGAAGCTGCTTTGGCCACTACTCGCAGAGATCTGTGCACCGCACCGCCACCTTCCAGCTTGACAACATCAGCGCCTGGACATCAAATCTTGAAGGTGGTGCCAGCTACCTTTTTTTTGGCAGTGAGGGGGTTGTTTCAATCAGCAAACATTCAAGACAAAAAATAAAACATATTTTGTAAAACATATAGTGGTTTGCATGGTGATCCAAGCAGTTTCTGGATTAAAATGATTGACCCCCAAGATCTGATCCCGTAGATCCGTAGTCTTTATTTATGCCCACATCTGGCAGAACTTCGTCATCAGCGACTTGTCCGCCTGCGACCCGAAAGGCAGCTGCATTCCGAAGCGCGTCCTCCATCGTCAAGTATGAGCCTTATTGGGTCAATGGCTAGCTACAGCTACACAGCATGAAACTCGCATACGGTTTGCGGTGTCAGCACATACAAATAAAAAAAAACATCGGCAAGAGACCCCAAACAGTGTGTGGGGGTTGTGGACACACTGTTTGGGGAACTACAGTAGTCACTTGGAATTATGCCAGGTTGAATGCAAACTGAAAGATGATTGAAACCACCAAAAACACGAAATTGCTGAAAGAATTGAGGAGCGTACCGAAAGGCATATCCTGGCAGAATGGAAACTCAATTGTTCTGATCGTTCACCTTGATCGTCTAATATCGTTTAGTAGCCTCCAGTTACAATCACCATCAGCATCACAATCATTTTCATCATGTGTATTTCTTCATCATTGTTTCCATGATTAAAAATTATACAAAAACATGAACACCATCACCATCATCATCCCAGTCGTCATCCCAGTCGCACGTTTCCGCATCCAACAAATATCCCTGTGTCAAAGAAAAACAAAGGTTTGGAAAATGAGTACCCCAAAAATCACCAAAAAATCATTCAAAATCAAACGGTATAATAATTATTGTTGTATTTTACCAGGTCAACAGCAATGGGGGTGAAATACACTATAACCGTTAAGCTGCTAGCTCTGTTTTGAACCAACGCTATCGGGTAGAACGATGATATGTACAATACATGGTTTTACTGCAGGAGTTTTTACACCCCCCTCGGGCGAGCAGGGACGACTGCGGAGAATGAATAACCCAGAAGAGCATACCCTCGCGGGTAGCCAAATTTCTTTATTTGGTTTTAGACATTTTGTGCGGTCTTTCAAAGGTCCCTCTAAAAAGCTCAAGCCCGTAAAACCCAGCGCAGCGTCGCAAGGAAGGCACATTACCATGCCGCATCTTGCGCTATGCTACAAAAGAAAATCATCGTCTACCTGCGGTTCCAATAGATCCAACGGCCGCCGGCCTCATCACGGTAATACCAAGCCCCACGCCAGAAACTCCATTCTCGGCGTGCACCATAGTGATCACGATTCCAACTCCAAGAGGCATCCGGGCGACCGGAGCTTGCAGCCTTCGATGTGACTGTGCTTGCTGCTTTTGCAGTGGGCGGCGTCTCAGGCTCCAAGAATGGTCGTGCTCCTGCTTTGGATGTTGGTGGTTCGGGTGCAAGAAATGGTGCATTGTTGGGATCAACTGGGGTATCGACGTGTGAGGCGTCCGCGTGAGCGGAGCTTGAGGCGGCTGTGTCATCAATGGCGGATGTGTCAGCTTCGGCTTTGCGCTTTCGCTCAGTGGTGGGCGCGACCGTGGGGTCGGCCTTTTGACCTCCAGGACCTCCAGCTTTTGCAGCGGCGCTCTGCTTCTCTTTGCGTTCAAGGTTGCCCCGAACCAATGGAAGGTTTTCCTCATACAGCTTTTCGAGGAATTCAAGAGTGCCATCAAAAGGAACTTGGACGGTGCCCTTCCAGGTCAGCAGGCCACGGAATGCGCCACGACGGCCGATGTAGTTGACATATTCATCCTCTGTAAAAATGTGGCGGCCGAACATGAAACCCCAGGTTTTCTTCCATGTTTTGCGGAACTCAACTGGGAACCCTTCCACGCCTCGAGGTTGGGACATGAAAATCAACTTTGACAAGCAGTTTTCATTTTGGGCATTGGCGGCGACGCCAGCCGAGATCTGAGCTCTGGTCCTGGGTGGATCCGGGAGGTTGGCGTATGCGAACATATCGTCAAAGATACAGTCCTGCAGGCCTTTTCCCTCCCCGTGGATGCGGTCACAAAACGTGACATCGCTTGCGAAGCGATCTTGGACGTCCTCGTAGCCGAGTGTCTTGGCACGCTTGTGTCTATCGCGGCAGTCTTTGAGGACTGCTGATTCCACAGATGTGATCCCCCTGCGAAGAAGATCGGCTTGCTCATTGGTCAAAGCCGTCAACAAAGTGCCACTCATTTTCCCAAACATTCCGAACCCGGCGAGGCTTTGCATTCGCCGTTCAAGGAGGCGGGTCCTCCTGTTGGGTTGGTCGGCCTCTTTTGTTTCGCCACTTTCGTCCACTGGGAGTGGCTCAAATCCACATGTGGTGCAGGTGACTTGGCCACTGACGTACTTGACCTGACAGAGGGGACAGGAGCCCATGAAAGGTTCACAGTACTTTGGTGCAATGTAAACACGGCGCGCCCTCGCGGGCGGCTGGTCAACTTGCATTTTGTCAGTGGCAGCATCATCATCAGTGGACTTGGCATCATCAGCGGCTTTGGCATCGGGTCGCCCCGTGCTGGTGTCATCCATTGGGTCGTCATTTGCATCATCTCGGGCAGTCAGGGTGACCACTCTGGATTTCGGTGCTGAGGCTGCTTCCGCGCCTGTCCATGTGCTGGGCTCGAGATTGCTCTCGGCGCGGGACCAAAGCACCTTTCCATCTTCTGAGATGCTAACCAGAAATTGGGGTGGGATGCGTTCTGAACACAAAATACCATCCATTTCTGTGCGACTAAAGATGACACCGGCTTCAACTGCTTGCCGCATTGCGATTTTGATTTCGACTGGACATTTTGCTCTCAATCCAGATCGATATCCCTGTGTGCCGATACAGTGTTCTGCCATGTAGATATGAGCACGGCCACTGTTGACTGTGTCACCGCCGCCTGGGATCAGGCCGTTCTGTGCGATGCTCTTCCAACTGCTTTTCATCGTGCGATGAAAAACAATTTCAGGGACCTCAGTCATGGCACACAAGGGCACGCCAGTGAAGGCGGCTTTTCGCTCGGGGGAAACTTGGTCTGAGCAATACACCATGGTTGAGTTGGCATAGAGGCCCCCGGCGGTACTCAAAGCAGCTTGGGAATGACCCTGAATTGCACGAATTTTCACAGGGTAATACGGCATGCCTAGGCCATTGTCGACAGGGAAATGGGAGATCTTTGCACACAAGAATTGGAACCTACTCTTGCCATGCTTGTCGATCTTCATTGCAGTGCCAAAAAGGTTTGAGACGGTGATGAACACGTCTGGGGGCACTTCCTTGCGGAAGGCTTTGGCAAAATCCTCCAAGTCAATCCAAAGGTCTTTATCCATTGGCACCTTGGCGCAGGATCCATGCCCCCTGCAAACTTTGTTGACACGGGTCGCAAAGTCAGAAAATTTCTTGTCGACGCGAGTCTGGCCAGCAATGGTCTCGACGTCGGATGCCGATAGCAGCTCCAATTCATAAGCCGTACCTTCAAACAGGATTCCGGGTACATCGTCCCCGTCTGCATTGGTCACCATTGTATATTGGTATTCAGGCAAATGCTCTTCCATCCAATATGCTTTCACGTGGCCGGATGCATACTCCTGTAAGCGCGCAGTTGCCTGCGGCTGGTACTGGCTTGATGTGGCTTTTGTGTCATCTGCAGACTTATCCACTGGGGTCGGTGCTGCTTTTGGTCCCGACTTCAACAAGACCTCAGCCGTTTGGACCATGATTGTTGCTCTGCTGGATGCAGCGGGCTCGCCGTCGCCGGCGGCCTTTGGAGGGTCTTCTGTGGGAGGCTCAGCAAAAGTTCCAGCAGGCATCGTCTTGACGTCGATGTAGTCCTCGGTGTCTGGTTGTTGAGCTTCAACGTCCTCCCTGGTGAATGACCTGCCCGTCGGCGTGATGTGTCGTCGGGACTCTCCAAAGAGCAACTTGGTGATGTTTGCGCATGTCTCCTGATAGGATCTTGGCAGCTCGTCGAGGACGGCGCTCATGTTCCTTCGCAAATCATCCCATGTTTCCTGGCCACATTGGGCAAGCTCAAGACCTATTCGGCCAACCCGCCATCCACAGTCAATGGCAAACAAAGTTGCCGTCCAGTATGCTGAGAGCCGCGTGCGATTTTCTTCAGAGTTGGCGAAATGCCACTGGTCTCTGAATTCCATTGCATCGGCGTACCCCTTTGCACGCAACCATGGAAACTTCGGGTTGGCAAGCCCTTGCAGGCTGCTGGTCAAAGCTTTGAATTTTGGCTCCAATGCTTCAAAGAACTGGTCAAAAATCGGATGAATACCATAGTCAGCAGACCAGGGCGCGGTGGTGAGACCGGCCGATTGCAAGTCCAACTCCCGGGCTTTGTCGACAAACCAAGTCAAATGGCGTTCACAATCATCCATGATCGTGGGCCAGTGCCCGTTGGGACCGTCGTATGGCCAATTTGGATTTTGGGCAATCCCATCCTCACCTACCAATTCATTTCCGGTTGATACGGGCATCAGGGTAGCGCTCGCGGGCGTCCGCGGCCAATTCAATCCCACGTTTGACCAACTTCTGCAGAGTTTTGCCCCAAAGCATCTCATGGATGAACTCAGTCACATACTTAGGCTTACGCTGTCGAAAATGCTCGGACAGATCGTATTTCTTAAGTGTTTTCCTACGCCCTGTGATCAGTGCACATGACGAGTCAGAGACTAAGATCCAGATTACTTCATTGACAGGCATCTCTGGCAACATGATCTTTTCGATGTGGGACTCCTTTGGCAAAAAGCAGAAACTAAGATATTCTGCAAGCGGATCCTCTCGACCGTAGAACCTCAGGGCCGAGGCCGGTGTCCATTCGGTCATCAATCCATCCACGAGGTCCTGAGAAACCTGAGTCTCACCTTCATTGCGCATGGCCAGTGAAAACAAAATGCGATTGTGAAGGAGCAACCATGCTTCTTTGTTAGCCTCACGTGTGGCTTCGAGCGCAGCCTCGCGGCTGGCCGAGTGTGCTGTGGCATATCGCGAGTCAGCCATTTTAGCAGGACAGGCACGAATGACAGCGGGTGAAATCCTTTTGGATGTTTGGCCCACCACAGCTACCCGGAAACACTCATGGAGCATGTCAGTCAAATTGAAAAGTATAGTTCTCAGCAAGTTTAAGAGCTTTGCCCCTACTTTGATCATGCTCATGTTTGCCATCACATTTGAATGAGTCTAACACCGCAAGTTCTTTGAAGTTTCCCGCAATGGTCCAACTTTTCTTCATTGGTTGGCCGTTGTTTCCAAGAACACCCAACATGCAACCATCAAAGTGATGAGTAGTCATGGATCGTTCTATAAGGAATTTCCTGACCATCGGCCATCTCCAATATTTGCAATTCTTGGACAGTTCAAATGCTATCAAGGTTCGTTCATCATAAACTTCATCCACAAGTTTGACAAAAGATTTGAATAACTTGGTAAACTGTTTTTGTTGCTCTTTGATTCTTTCCTGACCCTCAACAGTAAGGCCATTTACGTTCCCCCATGGGCTACCTCCG